ACATAACGCTTCCTTCTTCATCAAACATCACTTGGTTGCCTTTACCTACAATCAATTGTGAAACACTGATTAAATTGTGTTGTAAAACTTTAACATAAGCAACACGTGTAGTTGTAAAATTTCCATTTCTGATTTTTCCATATCCTTTGATTGAACACTTATTATTGTTTCCAAACTTCACAACTCCAGCATTATCAAGCTTTCTGAAATCTCACAAATACTCCTTCTTCCCATTCATGTGACGTGAGAAACTACTATCAATATACCAATTTTCATCGTATTGATCATCACATAATATATGCAATCAATAAGAGAGATTTAGGTACCCAAGGCTTTTCGGGTCAATTGACATTAGTGTGAAATGTGGAATTATTAATCAAGTTTTGAACTTTGTTTTTAACTCGCTCAACCAAATCAGATTCAAATCTTTGAGATGGATAAACATATTCATTTAACATCGATGAATCAACTTTTAACTTTTCATTCTCAACATTTCTTTTAGGAATAGTGGGGTAAAAATTTGTTTTGATTGACTCACTTTTGTGGTTTCGATAAGGTTTCTCGTAATGAAGTACTTTGTTGTGATGATTCACACAAATAATTTTCATATGTATCTTTTATTTTCTCTTCTAAAAATAACCTTGATTGATATCTCTTTCCCTTATTGCCCAACCAATGATTTAAATTTCCAGTATCATTTTTACCTTTAGAAAAGGAAACCTTCAACTTTTGATTAGAATTTGGATTAGGAAAATTAGGATTTTGTGGTTGAAAATTCAACTTTGATTTGGCAACATTTGCTTTTGGTTTAACAACATTTGCTTGCTGAAAACGATTATCTTTGTAAATATTATTCCTATTCTTCCAGTATGAATTATATCGAAAATCTCGATTGGATTGAACATTTTTCGAAAATGGTTTTTGATATTTTGGTTTCACATTTTGAATTTTCGACACCACTGGTATATAGTTACATCAATTTACTTTCATATGTCTTTAACAGGAGGTTCGATTCCTTTCACAATTCAAACACCCATCTTCTCTTTCTTGTTGAGTTTGTAACTAGAGTTAGGAATTTTCTTTCTAATATTGGTAAAAGTCTTTGCTTTTTGATTTAAAGAATTATCTTCAATATGTACATTTGAAACAAAACCCTTCATCAGTCACTTGCAAATTATCCTTTTGTCAACAAAGTCATTAGCCTTGGATGAACCTCTTCACCATTTCTTTTTGTTACAAAAACTTGATTCGAGTAATCCTTAAATTTTGGATAAAAAACAACATTTTGTTCAAGATAATGTTTTCTTTTTTTCTTTCAAAACTTTTCCTTATACATCTCTTATAGTGTGGCTACGTGAATGCGACCTACTATTGATTCAAATGACTTTTAGTGATACATATATCAATATACTATTATACGTATGTATAGGATGTATTTTAAAACTTTTCAAAAAACAAGGTTTAAATTTAATTATATGAATTAACAATTAATTAATTAATCTTTTAAACCAATTATGAATTTAATATTTATCTACTTCCTTAAAATTTGAATTAGGGTTATAAATTATCTAGCATTATTTGGTTCAGATTTTATCAGATAAAATAACAAATAATGATTAATAATTAACCTATTAATTGAATTAGGCAAGCAGATCAAGAAAAAACGAATTTTTTAAAAGACATGTCGCGCCCTTCGATATATATATTTTTTGTTTTTCAAGTTTCATCTTTTACGCAAATGTAATTGAAAAAGGCATGGCCCTGATACCATTATTGGGTTTTTTAGGTTAAAATAACATTGTACATGCAAAATTTTACTTAACATTTAAGGGTACATGCAACATAAAAGGATCTATGACTTTTCACAATTAATAACAACATACTTATGAAACAAAAACTTTTATCCTATTATAATCGAAATTACTAGTAAGAAAACATACCTTTAACATAATTAAATATGCCAATATTTTGAGTTCTTTGAATGTTCCATAGAAAGCAAGCGCCAAAAGTATGCACGCCTCTAATGGTTCACACCCCAAACCCTAGAACACTAAACGAACAAGAGGAGTGATGAGGAAAGAAGAGAATTTCGTTCTCCACCTTCTAGGTATGAGAATCCACTAAAATTAGATGTCTAAGAGTCCTATTTATAGTTTAGGTAACTTACTGATAAATCCAGATTTGAATAATTAAATAATAGATTTAATCCCTAATTCAAATCATTTCCTTATCTACTACCAGAAGCCTTCCAAAAACCCTTAGAAAGCCTCCAAAACCATCCACACCATTGATGGTTCAAGAATTGCTTCTTTTGTTCAATTATTGAACAATTACAATTCACCCTTGCACTTTTAATTAATTCCAATTAATCTCAAATTAATTCTAGATTAATTTTGATTAATGGTTAACTAATTCCATCTATTTATAATTAATTTATTTATCACATAACAAATTAACAAATCATTTTATCTTTCTCTCCTAAAGTCATTTCAAACTATTTCTAGCTTTTGAGTACAACCCAAAAAGGACTTTACTTTTATTCCATAAAGTTATATCAATTTATTCATGACTTTGACTAATTTAGTTATGACCTTAGACACTTATTCCAATACTTTATGCTATCAGTCGGCTAATATCTTGGAAGAGTCATAAGTAAAAGTTGACGACTATATCAATTATGATGGCAAAATACGTTGTCATATATACTGCAACTTTCCGTATAATGTTATTGAGAAATGAAATTACACGATTCATGATCGTAAATTTTATTTCAAGGCAATTAAAAGAAAACTTATTGCTTTAATTTTGCCTCTATAAGTTTCTCCACTAGCGATAATTATAGTGGAATGATGATTAACCTCGATACAAAATACTTGTTCGCTTAAGAGAAAGTAAGGGGAGATAATATTTGTATCAGACACATTAACACTGATAATAAGCTAGCTGATCCAATAACGAAAGGTATACCACCTAGTTATTTGAACATGTTGTCAATATGGGCTTAAGGCTAGACCTAGTATTATATAATTCTAACATAGTGCTTTAATGGATCTTTTAGTTTTATTATTCAAGTACTTGATTATTATTCTTTCATGATATGAAATTTGTTTATATTAATAACTTGTGCACACTTTTTCTCTATATAGACAAATGTAATGAAATACGACTTAAATCTAAAGTTATTCTCTAAAAGGACACGTTATACTGTATTTTTTTTATTTGCTTTTGTGTTAATTAGAAACATTATGAATTTAACTTGGCCACGATAACAAAACATGTATACATATAGTCACTTAGCCAAGTGGAAGAATGTTGGAAAATAACTTGTTAAGGTGGCCTTTGGACTATCATGTAATATGTGCTACATGTTGGTACAGTTATATTGTATACCCTAACATATTATGTAATGATATTAAAGTCCCCAGACTTAAATATATGTAGTATGATGAATATGACCTTTGTTTGTAACTTGAGGGACTAAATATGTGTAGTTGTATAACTTACCCATAAGGTGCAATAGTGAGAATTAAACACACATTTAGGATAAACGTATTATGGAGAGATGGGAACGGTCTTCCTATTTAATTCTAAGTTCTCCTTATAAACACCAGCATACAATCCTCATGTGTGTATTAATCAATCCATCATATTATCATTGAGGCACCATTACGGAAGTGAAAAGAATCATAATATGGTATCATCATCTTCAAATTGTATGAATATACCATTCCATAAGTAAGTTTTCTTCAATTGATTTAGGGTTCTTCATGTATGCATAAATTGATCTTGGTTTATTCCAATTAATCAACATGCATCGGTCATTTTATGGCGACCATGAGTCTTCATTGTGCTCACCAGATAATTCATTTGCATGGAATGTCATTTTCCTTGGATCTCATTCATCCACATTGGAGGATTGATACATTACGCCTGAATTCAGAAGATAACTCACACAATGATGTCACCAATGAATTTGATAAGTTGCTTAGTGAGTTGTCTTCAAGATACTAAATATGACCTCTAAGTAAGAAAAAATTGTTACTTCTATCATTACTAAACTTTTGAGTGAATCTAATATATTATTTGAGCCCTTGATTCTTCGACCATATGGTAGACCTCCAAAAACAAAAAAGAAAACAGGGATAAGTTCAACCGCACACCCTTCAAGATTTAAGCTTATAGAATCATTACAAACACACAATCCTTCGATTTCTACTTTTATCTTTGAGATGAACAATGAAGTGTCTAAAAATGATTTATTTGATTTAAATGCATGTCTAACTTTTTCAAAGTGATGATGATCGTCAAAGTTATTTAACATTATTTTGATTGGAATATTTTTGATTGACAAGTTGCCTTTAATATTATTGTGATGTCAATGTTTATTTCTTGAGTCTTTTAATATTATTGTGATGTCAATGTTTATTTCTTGAGTATGTAGTGCAAGTCTGTAAAATAAAAAATGGTATGTGATTAATAACAATGATTAACACTAAAATAAACATAAATGGTTAAAAATTCAATAAGATTTATTTACATTTTATTTAATAACGGTTCCAAAAACATAAATATTCGTATCTATCTAGGTGATGATGAAAATTAATATTTGACGTTATAAAAGTGATAAATAAGACAGAAAATTTTGATTTTTGTACATAAGAAAAAAAATAAAAAAGAAATTGATAAATTATGAAAACAAGAAAGAGAAAAAGGAAAAAGACAAACACTCCGGTTCTCTATCTTTATATGTTTGGTAATTTTTTTTTTTTTTTATATTTCTATTGATTAAAAGAATGGATATAAAAGGGAAACCACTTTTGTATCAAGTGGAAGAATAAAATAAACAAAAAGTAGATATACTACAAACTAATACAAAATATCTAAGTAAAATTGAAAATAAATAAAAAATAAAAAATATCTAATTTTACAAAAATAAAGATTATAGCTTCAAGCAATTTTTATGCGTCTTCGGTAAATGTGGAAAGCAGTTGTCATTGGAAGGGATTAGTTTTGCTATTTACAGCAACCTTTTCCTTTCCTTTTCTTGAAACAAAAACGTTTCTCTCTCCCCGTCTCTCTCTCTCTCAACACATCACTTTCCTCTCTTTCTTCTATTATTGGTTAGCAGCTGGATATATCTATCTATCAACACCCTCCTCTCAAAGAATCAAACAGGTAAAAGAGCGCAACAATCCACCATTCTTATACCTAAAGAGTTGCATGTACATCAAAATACGATTATAGTTCCTGGATTTCTTCTATTTAAAAGGTTTTCGTGGGTTGTTTGCCTTGTTTTTGGAGGCTTTTTAAGAGTTAGATCTAAAAGATGATCATACCTAGCTGAAAAACCACTTTTGTTACTATCATTTTTGGGTGCGATAGAGCTATCAATAGTCTTATCTCAAAACTCTCTCCCAATATATATACTTTGAGAAAGAAGTAAGCGGATAAACATTATCTACCATTTTTCTACCTAACTTAAGCCCTCTTTTTCTTGTAATCGAATACTTTTGCATGTTCATCAGGATATGATTATGATTTTTTCTGGGGTTTCCTGCGTTAAATATACAAGTTCAAATAAAGCTAAAAAACGTTTCTTTAGATATCAGTTGTGATTGTGGTTTTGTTTGGATTGTTGCAGAAGAAGTAGTTTGACTTTCGAGGGACACCAATGGCGAGGGAGAAGATAAAGATAAAGAAAATCGATAATATAACATCCAGGCAAGTGACTTTCTCAAAAAGAAGAAGAGGGCTTCTGAAGAAAGCCCAAGAACTTGCTGTTCTTTGTGATGCTGACGTAGCTCTCATCGTCTTCTCGGCCACCGGAAAACTCTTCGAGTATTCAAGTTCCAGGTAACTCATCAATCTGATTTAGACTTATATATCGTTCTGTGTATATAGGATCCCATTGGGGCTTTATTCTAGATCGACTTTACTCTAAAATTAGCCTCTGAAGTTAAGTTCTATACTTCTATCTTGATTTATATGATCAATTTTCATGGTTTATACTAGAAACATGAAATCATGTCCAGGACTTCTTATCTTGATATCAAGAAAACGATGAACCCTAATTAAATCCCCAAAATGAATTATATAAATTCTTTGAAGATTTTATAATTGGTAAGGCTTATTTGATTTGATAATTGATATTAAACTTCTTTGAGTATGTATATGGGAGTTTCGGGTTGTTCATCTATAGGTTAAGATGAGTAGACTTTCTATTCTTTATCAAAGTTCAAAATATTATAACTGTATTCTTTTACAATACATCTTTTAGATATTTCATAATATCCTTTCAATGAATGGGTTTGTAAAAATATTATCTAAACTTTTTTTTATTAGGCTAAGAGGAGTGGTGACACTCTTGGCACCTTGCCACATAAACATTTTAGTTGCCACATCATTTTTCTCCATTTAACACTTACACTTAACATTTGGTAAGGAGTGGTAACACTCTTGGCACTCAATTTTTTGTATTTTCTTTTTTCTATATATATAAAGTAAAACAGAGATTTGATTCCATGCATAAAGTATGAATTTTTGTTTTTACTATGCATACTGAAAAAGTGAGTCTGCAAAAGACATGCAACCAATGAAACACAAATTTGCCTTTCTCTTTCATCTCGCTAACATGTTGGCGACTAAACAATGGCGAGCCCCCTAGCGAGAGCTAGGGGGCGGTGTTTCCTTCAAGTTGGCGAGCATGGCCACCTTCTTAGCGAGCACGACTCCGTTCAGCCTTATAATATATAGCTTTAAATTTATATCATTAAATAAATATAATCAAACAAATAATTCGTATAAAAATATTCATATTAACTGTAATATTTTTTAAAACAAACATACTATTAAATATATAATATCATTCATAATATATTAAAATAAACATGTACGCTTGTTATAGAAATATTACATATGTTTGAACTTTGAAGAAATTATAACACATATATTTAAAGAAATATTATATATTCATGTGTTGGAACATCTTTCCCAAAAATGATCAATTGTCTTAGATTGGAGTGAGTTTATTTGTTTTAATACTATTCATAATTCCAGTTTTAGAGTTAAAAATATAATTGGATTAGAGAGTATTTATTCTATTTTTAACTCTAAAAATAAAATTACTTTATTTATCTAGATGAGTTAGTCTAACAAATTTTCACTTTATTTCTACGAAATTTAAAAAGAAACTTCTAAAAATAATATATGCTTTATCAAGTATATTAGTTTGATTTACCAATACGTAACTTTAACAGGAAACCTTATCATTGCCCATTAGAAATAAGAGTCCAAAGTCCATTATGTCATTATGGTAGCTAATTATTAATACATATTATATTACCATTAAAATAAATCAACAATGAGTATGTACAATACGAGAGTAACACATTAATAGGTTGGGCTGCGTTCATGGATACTCACCAGCACTTTATTGGATGGAACACAACTTTTTAACAAGTTGGTCCGGATAAGATAGAATCGGATAAGATGGAAATCATAGAATCACTAACACTTACCCATCGACATATAATAGCTGGCATCATTTTCTACATAGGACCCCAAATCATTGTATCTTATTATTGCTGTTGTATCTAACCACTTATTATCAAGATCCATAAATGATACATATATATTATGAGAAGTACACGAATGCTTGATATGATACGTATTGAAACTTGATCAAAACATAAAACAAATCAAAGATTACACATTAACATATTTAAGCACTATAATAGGATGCTTGATCCTTACTTCGCCTTTTCTTACCAATGATGAATTTATTGTATTTTTGGGGCCTTTTTTCATGGAATTTAGCTCTATTTCAAAGTGAGAAATTAGAGCCTTAAATATGGAATATAAGAATGCATTAACATGTTAGCTACGCCCCCTTTGTGTTAATTGACTCACCAACACCATTATATGAGATAAAACACTAACATTTTTTCATTAGATGGAAAATGTATTTACGTTTTGTACAACTTAAGGTTGGTCAAGTTATTGATGTAACAGCCTCATAAGATAGAATCACCAACACAAACCAATATTAGTACTTGCATAAACTACCATACGAAACCAACTCATTATATAATTGGCCGTATATTTAATCAATCCATAATGAATTCAAATGAAAAGTACACAAATTATAAGCAAATTGTTCCCAAGGTTAAGGACCCCCTTTCTGTGTGAGTTGTTAGGGTTAAAAACACACAAACAATAATAATAAGATGCAAATAAACCCAAAAAATTATCGCGGCTCACAATCCGGGTAATTGTGCTATATCCACTAGCGAATTAGATATGCATTAATTTTTTTTGTAAGGACCTTACAACCGTAGGGTTTACATGTATAAAATATAGGAAAAAAATATGGGCATAATATAACGACCCTGTCAAGCCCATCCCACCATCAAAACTAGACATGGCCATTAACTATGTATCGTTGAACCTATCTTCCTTGAATTTTCACAAGTGTTGCTATGCCTATTACAATACAAAGCAGTACTAAATAGTACAAGTAATATTTTATATTTTTTCTTATAAAAGTGAATACTTCTTACATAGTAATAAACCAAAAGTACATTGTTATGTTCAACATGCATCGAATACCTAAATCATATTTGTATGCTCAACGAATTTTTCATGCTCATCCTTTGCCATCTTCAAATCTCGCTTGTTTTACATAGCCCTTAGGTCTAGTCCTTGGTTGATTGACAAAGAGAACATATTGCGATAATATTTTGTGAAATAAGAACAATATTAATTTAACCATTAAACAGCAAAATACAAACCATAATATATAGTATATTATTGTCGAATTCATAATTAAGAACAATACACATCCATATTTAGTCAATACTTAGTAGTCACCTGGGTAATACAAAAAATAAAGATCCGCATAAAACGTCCATGTTCACGAGTCCAATTACTAGCAATGTAACACGTAATTTATGCTTTGGAGTGTTTGTATATGGAGCTCCTAATCAAATTTAAATAGTTCAAATTAAAAGACCAGATGTACAAGCAGCAGTACCTAACTTCAAAAATTCATAGTTACTAGTTAGGTGTTACCTAAGCAACCCAGTTACATACATTCTAAATAATTTACATAATCATACTTTCTAAAGTTCATATAAACAATATAAGTTGTAGCTTAATGGAATCATTTAATAAAATAAATTGTTATTTCAATAATAACTGACCATGAAAGTGGGCTTCACTTCAAATATTTATCACCAAAAATTGTGATCCACGGATCAACGAATATCGTCCAACTTCACACCCGAAAATGGTGTTTTCCAAAGGTTTTACATGAAAAGCAACATAAAACTTTTTATTTAATAAAAATAAAGGCTTACTTTAGGAAATGCTTTGTTGTCGGTTATCATGAATTCCTGCATCCACTTTTAGACGTAATAACCACAATATTCTCAATAGGACTCCTGTTGGTTGCACTATAAATAAAATACACATGCGAGGATTATATGGGGAGTTTGCTATTTGTAACATGAAATAGTTTCGCGTTCATTTAGTTTGTTAATAATCACCAACTCTATTATATCTAGATAAATCGCGTACAACTGGATATAAATGAAACAAATTTAAAGTATTTGGGGTATTTTGAAGCATGCAGGAAATGCTAGGAAAGTATAAGCTCCATTCCAGTAACAATCGGGATAAAGTAGATGACCCTTCTCTCAACCTGGAGGTACGTATCACTTCAAATCCAAGAATTATTCTTCTCATAAGGATGCTTAATTGTCTTAAACAAAAAACATTTCTATTTTCTAAGAAGAGAAGACATATTTAGAATTGTTACCTGATGATATGTAGCTAGACGAAAGTGATGAAGTAAGATTGTCCAAAGAGATCTACGACAAGAACCGTGAATTAAGGTATATATAATCTTAATTATGTTTTATTCCAATACATGAACGATGATTAACATATGAGTAGGCAGTTAAGAGGCCAAGAGCTTCAGGGATTAACCATAGAAGAACTTGAACATCTAGAGACTGTACTCGAAGGGGGCCTAAGCCGTGTGCTTCAGACAAAGGTACAATTACCACAAATTTCAATGTGTAAACTACATAATTCTTCAAGAAAAACAATGCCATTAGAACAAAAAAAGCAACATATCTATTATTTTTGTTTCAGGATGAAAAATTTGGAAAAGAGATATCCAGACTTGAAGAGAAGGTTCGGGTTTCTTTCCATCTATTGCTACATTTTTCGTTTTAAGACCATGTTCGGCGTGGAGCTTCAGAGAACTTGTAGCTTTTAGTTTTTAAGAAAAAATTGTTTTGTTCGGTGGTAGGAGTTGTTAGCTTTTATTTTATATAAAAAGTTTGTAATCCAAAAGCTACTTCAAGTAGCTTTTAGTTTTTGGTTTTTACGTAATTTTATGCCTTTAAAAGCTAACAGCTACTTTTGCCGAACACTTCTACACAAATAAAAGTTCGAGCTTCCATCTAGCAGTTATAGAAGTATAGAACTCTTTAATCATATTTATCGTCTCACTTTGCTCGGATCTGATGTGGTTTTTCTATCTACATTCATCCAGGGAGCTAAACTGATGGAAGAGAACAGGCTGCTCAAACAAGAGGCAAGATTCTAATTTGATAATTTTAATCAAATTCAGTCTAATTGTTTAGATCAAAATAACTTTTTGTTGTCATTAACATGGTTTTTTTTTCCTACAAATATAGATGATGATGATTACAAATGGAAAGAGGCCGGGAACAACCGATAATGTGTTAAATAATCCTGAGGATCAAGGTAGTTCACCATCATCTGTCACCACACATGTAAATAGCTGCAATAGTGAACCTCCGCTTGAGGATGATGGCTCAGATACTTCGCTTAAACTCGGGTAAGCTTGTTGCACACTCCTTGATTAATGTTTCCTGTTATTATACTTGGAAGTCTAATTTCAACTGATTTAACTTGCTTGAAAGAATAAGAAGCAAACATCCCATACACACACAGACAAGACATACAGAGATGCATACATGCATACGTAGATTACATATAGACACATGACACACATGTATATTTGAAAATCATTCAGACATTCTATTGATCATGTATCAGGTTAGCGTTTTACTAATGCTGATAGAGTCAGAAGAATGTTAGCTTTCAAGGGATTGAGCAAAAAGTTGAAATGAGTTTGATGCTTTAATTTGTTGTTAAAGATTTTATCGAGACTGTTTCCCCTTTCATCATTTCTTATTTATTCATGTATACTGCTAAAATCTAACCTAGTTATACAGTATTTGTAATATTTGTATATCTTGTTTATGTATAATTAGTTGAAAGTTATATGTATAATATATAGTTTTGCAAAATAATTATGTTTTCTGTTAGAGTGAGAAAGTTCATGTTTTAAAGACTAATTGCCTAGAGACTAATCCGTTGGTTTATCAAACACACCTCCAGAATTTGAAGTCATTAAAAGGAAAAACATATTCATAAAATTTCACATCCAAAAGAAAGAAACACTTGATCAAGACTAAAAAGTTTATAACATTTTTTCTCATTAGAATATCCAATTAGTGGACACTTCTCTGATCTTTCGGAGAACTTATCAACACTATTAAGTTTAGTTGCAAAACAAAGACAACCAAAGACTCTAATATTATCAAAAACACAGAGAACGTTTCTAAACCAACACAAAAGGACAATTTCCATTTAAAATAGAAGAAGGAAGTCTATTGACTAAAAAACAACAATATTAAATCACCCCAAAACTTACAATGTAACCTTGATTGAAACAACAAGGACCAAGATAAACTCAAAAGATGTCTATGTTTCCTCTACACTACATCATTTTGTTGTGGAATATGAACACATTAAGTTTATTGGACAATACCTTTATATTAGTTCCATTATGAGATCTAACAATTTTAATTGTAACATTAAAATGATTTTCCAAAAGATTTAAAAACACATGAAAACACGAAAAACTTCTTCTTTAATTTCCATTAAGTAAACCTATGTGGCCATTGTCAAATCATCCAAAACATTCCTTACACACAAAGCCATCACTCTGTAAGGACCCCAAACATCTAAATGTATTAATTCACCTAGATTACTGGTTTTTGTGTTCACTTAAAGGAAAAGAGTCTCTATTTGTTTAGTTTTATGTCATGCTTCACACGGAGGAATATACTCATTCCCAAAACTTTAAAGATTGCTTTAGAACATTCAAAGTTTGGTCAACAGGATGCAAATATGTCGTAAATTATACATATTTTAAGGGATGTATTTTATATTTTTCTGCATATTTTTACAGATATTTGGTACTTAAATATTACAAATTTATATTTTCCAGATTAAAAAAGCAATATGTTTAAATAGAAGCTTTAAAGGGATATTTTGGAACAATTTTCGTAGCTTGAAGACTAAGCAAGATTTCTGAAGAATCAAGGAATGATAATTCCAGAAAAATAGAAAATTTCAAAGATAATTGTTGATATTCGCAAATCACACCGTGATGATTAAATATCGCCGTGAAATAAGTCGGTTCTCAAATCCTATAAATAGCTCATTAATTTCATTTAAAAATATATCAAGACCATACGAGAAGTACTTAGAAGGAAGATGATCAACAGAGTCGAACCCGAAGAATTTGGTTTGCATTATGTTTAATTTTCTAGTTCTTATTATATATTTATTTTAGATTATGGGCTAAGTCTCTATACTTTTTATTAGATGTAGATGATCTATGATTATCGTTTAATTCATTGGGGAAGGATATGTGATAGTTGTTTAATTTATTATGTTTTAGAGATCCATGCATATTGTTGTTGATTTTATTATGTTTATGTAATTAAGTGCATGATTTATGATTAGGTTCAGATTATGTATCTTGAATCAACTGTTTAGTTAACAACTGGGAACTTGACCAATTGAGGCATAGACATATTTGACTAATGGAGACATCCCTAAGTTAAAAATAATAAAGTTAAATTAATATTCGTGATTGATCCAATGATTAATAAAATGAATAGATCTAGTCTAGGAAAGCTATCCCTACCGGTAGATAACTTAGAATCATATGATTAATAAAATTAGCCTAAAGTTAATCAAATTAGGAATCAGTGAACATTTTATCAATTTTCCATTGCACGTCATATGAATTATCCATATTTCAGAATTGTTTTAATTTACTTTATTTTATTTAGTACACTTTGATTCCCCTTGAGTTCGACACTCTTAATTATATCAACTGATACTATTCTTGATCTGGTACACTGGCTAGTGCTAGTAGTCAGTTCAAGTTGTTAGGATTTACAAATTTAAAACTAGATTTGTAGTTTATTTTAGGTTGATTTATTAGATTATTTACCACACATCAAAGTTTTGGCACAATTAGGTAATCGTGTCACTATTCTAAGTATTTTAGTCGCTTTTTGTGATGAGATTTATTAATCTCGTCGCAATTTATTAGACTATTTACTGGGAAATTGATTTCAACTAATACATAAATGTAGGAAGTTTTGTTTTGTATATTTTTAAATTTTTTTGTTTTTAACCGGTTTTATCGTCGCAATTAGGTAATTGCATCGCTAATCTATGTATTTTAGTTGCTTTTTGCAATGAGATTTATTAATATCGACACTATTCTAATTCAGAACATATATTTTACATAAAAACAACTTTTTTCCAGTTAACTAGTTGCACTACCATTTTAATTTTACAGACGCTATATGACCAGAAGTTTGTCATCAATTTTAACAAATCCAGTCAACAATCCATAAAAAATTATTAAAATAGCGAAGACTAAGAGCACAATTAATACTAACAAATAACCAACAAGTCTGAAGACTAAAAATAACAATATGAAGGAAGGAAGGAATTTAGAGCAATATATGACCCACAATAGTGAAAGCATAGGCTTTAGAGTAAGAATGACAACCATTTGAGACCTAAACTTCGAACTGAAGGGACAATTTTTGCATTTTTTAAAAGAAAACTCATTTGTTGAAAAAGATCATGAAGATGTTGGAAATGGTGTCCTAAGTCATTAACTGTTTTTTGTAATATTGCTAATAATAGCAGGGTCCTTTTGGGTTGGCCTCATGACCCAAATAGCGTAAGGAAATTGAGATTAATAATGTGTTAATTTATTAAGAAATTAATAAATTAATTAGAAATTATTTTGGTAATTAGTTAAAAGGACTTAAATGATTAATTGGAATATTCCAGAAGCATTTGAATGTATAGAAGTGGACGTTTTCTAGATCCCTATGATATGGATAAGGCTGGTTTGAATCATATAAGGATAAACCCTAGAGTTTGTATCCGTCTGGGATTCTAACAACTGCCTATAAATAGATTGCTAGGGTAATGATAGGTTTTGAGCACTACAACATTCCTATGGTGTATATGCAACCCTAATGCTTTGAATCTAGGTTTTTCTCAAGTTATACATGCAAATTATTATCCAAAGCATAAACCCTAATCTAGCATATAATTTTCGAAATTTATAACTAAAACAAAGTTAGATGAATACCTTTTCCTTGTAGCTTGTAGATCTTGACCTTCAAGAGCTTAGTGCCTCAATTGTTGCACCTCCAATGAGTCACAAACACCAAGTAGCAATTGGAAGATTATGAGAGAGAGGGTGAGACTCTAAAATCGGCTAGGGTTCTTTCTTATGTGCATAGGCCGATTTCAAGGAGCCAAGGGGTTCCTTATATAGCTGAGGATCTTAGGGATTTAGATGGAAACCCTAATCTGATTGCTTAAGTCATAAACAGTCCATGGAAACCTTCTGGAAGGCCCCCTTGGACGAAATCTTCTATGGGCTTCCCATAGATTTCGTCCAAGCCTCTCCAAGGTGATCCAACAGCCCAGTTTGCAACTATCAATGATTTGCACAACCAGTCCCCTTACTTTTAATCAGTTCCTTTAATCACAAAATTAATTCCAAATTAATTTATGATTAATACTAATTAAATAATATGATTTCTCAATTAATATATTATGCTTATAATATATTAATAAATCACAATTAACCTCTTTCTCCATATTTCATCCTATCAAATTGCTATGGTGAAGGCAACCCAAAAGGACCATGCTATTATTGGGTCAAGTACATACCAATTATAGTTATGGGCTCAGACACCTAATCCAACAGTCTCTCACTTGGAAAAGTCTAATAACTATAACTGCAAGTACGAATTTAAAATCCGATTAGTAATCGTAGCTCTTAAAAGCCGTTGTCGAACTCTGACCAAGTCAATGACGCGTCCTTTAGATAAGAGATCATATAATCCTCCGTTCTGCAAGATATAGTGTGGACAATGACATGGAACATAATCATTCTCAGTGTCCAACAATTTGTTTCCCGACTTCTAATTTGTTTAACATAGAACTTAATTAAACACATCAATTCAGTCCTGACCGGGCCCGACACATAAGTCAACACAAAATCATCGAGGGGCCCAAGATATAGCTTTTACCCTCCTAGGATAAAAGGAACAGATAAACTTTGACTTATATGCTTGTACTATTTACTTGTTAAATCGTACACAACAACACGTTTTATAACGTCAAGTTACTGATGCGTTTACGCATTATCAATGCACAACCAACTCGCAAACAACAATTTATATATCTCAGTTTAAAGATTATACGATATTGTCGTCTCACAATCACTCGTGATAAATTCCATGAAGTGATTCATATGAGTATGGGTTTAATCCAATAATCAAATCTTATTTCAAGAGCACTCATGAACGTTGCAACAAACATTTGCTATGTCTAAACACTTAGACAATCTACAAACCAATTCATGACAGTCTAACCTCATAACTTACTCCTAAAGTATGATTGATTGTGGATAATTTGAACAATCTAATTATTCTGGAAGTAAAACATGCAAAAAATGAAACAATAGTAAACAATTGACACAAGATAGTAAACTTTACTCATAAATAAAACTCCTTTATTTAATCATCAAATGTAAATTACATTTTATCTATTACAAGTTTCTAAACAACTATCTAATCACTAAAACTAATATCGTCCTTCAGGCCAATGCTCTTCGCATGCTGTAAATGCTTAACCCTGCTCAGACCCTTTGTGAGGGGATCTGATGGGTTCTCCTCTGACGATACCCTCTTGACTACAAGGAGTCCCTCTTTTATCCGATGTTTGATGAAGTGGTATTTTCTGTCGATGTGTCAGGATCTACCATGATCCATCGGTTCCTTGGTTAAGGCAACCGCTCCTTCTTTATCGCAGAAAATATCCATAGGCTCCTTTATGGATGGCACAACTCCGAGGTCTCCAATGAAGTTCTTCAACCATAT